CAGCAGGAAAAGGTGCTTGGCAGGTCTCAGGCATCTCTGCACATACGAGTAGTCTCTGTAGTTCTCATCGTGAAGTCATGCATAAAAACAGTCTTTTGGTAGATATGTTTAACACGTGAAATTTTTTGAAATGCATTACTTAAAACAATACATGTCTGTGAATATGCCAAGGGGCAGATTCAGAATCACCTGTCTACCAGTCAGCCTTAGCGATAGCACGCACCTGACATTAGCAAACATCCTGGTATGAAATAAATGGATGAAACTGAGGGCGTGAGTCATTCCCATGAACCTTGTTTCCAATTTTGTAAAAGAGCGGTGTCTTTCTATTCACTCTAAAATTAGAGTTTTTAAGACAAAAAAAAAGAATCCCTCATCTACTGTCAGCAACTCTGTTTAAAATCTATACTTTTCTAAACCCAGATAGTTAACTTAGAGTAGCAGTAAAAACCAGCTTATGAAGAACTAATCATTAGGGTCAACATACCACAGGACATACAGTGAAAACAAAACAAAAAAATATCGCAAAAGGTAATTACAATCCTTCTATTTGACTGTGTATTGATCTTAATTTAGGTCAGTAGTTTCTAACCACAATTTACTCAGCACATTCTTAAATTATTTGAAATACTGTGGGGCTTTGTTTTTGTTTTGAGTTATCTATATGTTATTTCTTTTAAAAAAGTATCGCTAATAATTTTTAGTAATGTCTATAACCTCAAGAATTATAATCATTGAGATTTTGAAATTGCCTATAAAATTTAATAGGTTCCATTTTACTTCAGGAGTGTTGATCACATCATAAATCAATCCAAAGTACAATATATTTTGATAGATTTGAGAAATATACCACCGTTTCTAGAGAACTAGTTAATTTTTCCTTGTAGGCCTTATAGATTATGCATCTTAAATGCCAATAGGCTGTATGATACAAGAATGGAAGCAAAACAGTTTAAAGAGATTGGCTTTAAAACTGAGTTCAAATCCACTGAACATGAACTTGACATGCCCCAAATGAAATGCTCCTTCTTTTCTCCACAACAAACTACCATTTGAAAGAGCTACTCGTCTTTCAAACAGTAAATATTTATTAAGTGCCTACTGTGTACCAGCACTGTGCTAAATGCTTTACATGTATTCGTTTGGCCTCAGCCAGCCCCTGTGAAATAGACACTGTTATCATCACTTTTTGATGGATGAAAAAGCCGAGGTTTATTTACTGGTCCCAGGGCCATCAGTGGGAAAAAGGGGGAACCCAGGCCCAGACCTGTCTGACCTCAAGCTCAAGTTTTTGACTAATACCCTTTCAGTACAATCACCAAAAAATCTAGAGAGATTTCAGAAATAAGATGAAATTTTCAAGAGTTCATCCCTACTCTAAAATTCCTTATTTCTTCCTTTCAAAATTGGTTCGTTGGAAGGGTTTATTTTTTCACTCTAAAGTAGAAAATGTGTTGTGCCTAGTTTTTAATCATAGTATTTTAATCTGATTCCAAATAGATGACAAATGATATAAAATAAAAACTCTTTGGAAAAACCAAAATTTCTTGTATATATGCAGTCAAATATTCTTCCTCCTCCTTTCCTTCTTAATATACAGAGTTAATTGAGAAATGTTTGCTGGAGCATAACACAACTATTTACACTGATAAAATAATAGCAAGTGTCTGAAAATTGATCAAACCTTCAATACAAGTCTAAACAATTTCCTAATTAGGCATTTCTTCCCGGTTACTGAAGTGTAGCTTACTTGGATTGCTCTGCTTTCTCTGAATATTAAAAATGTCACTAATAAATATCCCAACCCATAGCATCTGTCCCAGTTATATTTGAACAGCTGGAGAATTCATCAGTACTTGGCCTTTTGCCACTGCTCATCCTAAACAGTGTCGTACCTAAGAATCAACTTCAAGATCTAGATTGTAATGCATCTCTGATATTCAAAACAGCAATTTTCTAGTCAGCTCTTGTCAATCAGTAAATTATTTTAAGGAATAGGTGAGGCACCTTGTGAATTTCATTCAAGTCCTTGCAGACTCCTAGCATGCCTGTTCATATATCACTGCTCCATTAAACTATGACATCCAAATGGCCTGAAAGAGCGGGAACTCTCCTCAATACTCTGTAATGGCCTATATGGGAAAAGAATCTAAAAACAGAGTGGGGGGCTTCCCTGCTGGCGCAGTGGTTAAGAATCCACCTGCCAATGCAGGGGACATGGGTTCGAGTCCTGGTCCGGGAAGATCCCACATGCAGCAGAGCAACTAAGCCCGTGTGCCACAAATACTGAGCCCGCGTGCCACAACTACTGAAGCCCATGCGCCTAGAGCCCGTGCTCCGCAACAAGAGAAGCCACCGCAATGAGAAGCACACACACCGCAATGAAGAGCAGCCCCTGCCCACAACTAAAAGAAAGCCCGTGCACAGCAACGAGGACCCGACGCAGCCAAAAATAAAATAAATTTATTTTTTAAAAAGAGTGGACATATATATATGTATACCTTATTCACTTTGCTGTACACCTGAAACTAACACAACATTGTAAATCAACTATACACCAATAAATTTTTTTTTAAAAATGAAAGAGTTAGTAGAAATTTTGAAACAACTTATCTACCCGAGTAAGTTGCACCCTGACAGTATAACTTATCATAAAAATAACAACAAAATATTCTACAAGAAAAACTTATTTATATAGTCAAGTGCAATTGGCTTGGTTTATTCTTATATTAATCTTGAAGTGTTTCTAGCATGACTAATAGTATGAGCTATTATTAATAATACTAACAGCTTCTAGAACTTTGGGATAAAGTGATAAATCACTATGGTAAGTCCTCATTTTCTCCCAAGTAATTTAAGCCCCAAGCAGTTAGTTAAATGATTCAATTTAAGGGAAAAAACCCCAAAGCACAAGTATCTCCCTGTTGTGTTTATCCAACATAAATATTAAAATTAAAGACTATAAACAGGTAACATGTTTTAAGCATTTTTTGTGACCAGATATTTTGTCCTCATCTTTTTATTTAGGTGCCGTATTCGGAATTGGGTGGCAAAACTCTGGTGATGGCTGTCTATGATTTTGATCGTTTCTCCAAGCATGACATCATTGGGGAATTTAAAGTCCCCATGAATACAGTGGATTTCGGTCACGTAACTGAGGAGTGGCGTGATCTGCAAAGTGCAGAGAAGGAAGAGGTAAGAAAAACATTAGCATTTCTAATGTGACACGCTGTACTCACCAGTTGCTACTCTCATACTAACCTATTGAGAGCTGCTGGGGTGACGTGAGTGATGTGGCCCTCCAGCTTCTGACAGCAGGCAAAATAGGGTCAGGGGATTGCGTAACCTCGTAAAAAAGTATACTGGTCTTCTGGGTCTTATTTGAAAGAAAACAAAGATTTCTGCAGGTCTACAGATAATTCCCTGGGGTTGAGGGGACAGACAGACACACACACCACTTCTAAAAGCTTAGAAAATATTACACACACACACACATCTGCTTCTTTAAAAGGACAGTGAAAAGTCATCTTATCCTTTGTATTTTTCCACAAAGATTTTATGTTTTCTACATAGACTATATAGCTATTAAATAGAAATGAAATGGTACTTTTTGCTTGAATATTTCTGCATATTACAGACAGTTCATTGCTTCTCCTAAAGATATCAGAGCACAATGGGTAAAACATCAAATAAAATTCACAAAGGCAGATATTAAATCCACTTTTTAAGTGACTCACATTTTTACAGTATTCTTCACATTGTTTCGCCCCAGTTTTAATAGGTTAGCCCAGGATTTTTCTGTGATTTAAAGAAGGGAATTTCAGTATCCTTAGTGCATTTAAACTGCATAATAATCAATTCTATTTGATTAGGCCATGCCAGCCTGACACTAGCGCTTTTCTGAGCCAGTGCCTCAACAGGCCAATACCAGAAAAGCAAACAATTCTTAGCTTCTCTGAATTCCTAAAGCGACTCCTTTTCCAGCCATTTTTTTTGTTCCTAACATGGGTTTATAATTACCCAAGGGATTGCCAACAGCTTTTGTCACTTAGGATCACTAGACGCCTTGGATTCTGTAAGGTGTGGTCACTTTGGGGCCACCAGGGAAATCAGAAAGTAACCCAAGCCTTCAGGGAAACTCAGCCAAGAACATCACCTGGGAATCCTTTCAACCTAAGGTTTTCTGTGACCATTATTATTATTAAGTGAGGTTTTAGAACAGGTTTATTTATTACTATACTGAAATTGAATTTTATTAGTGCTCTAAAATTATTACTTGGTTGTAAAAAAAAAACGAGTCAAAATTATTTGAGTTAAGCTCTGCTTTTTCTTTGGAAGGAAAAAGTTTAGTCAAAATTAGATTCTTGGATATTGAAATAGATTTACTGCCCCTGTGGACAGAACCACCCAAGGATAATATGGAGTTTTTAAGTTTTACAACTTTTTAAAGTAGTTCTTCCCCATGAGTGGACCAATATCTATATTAAAATGCAACACCTGTGTGAAAAACATTTAATCCTTTAATCATAATGTTGCTAGTCATTTAACCAAGTAGTGAGCTGTTTCACTGAATTTTTATATTTTATTGACATATTTGACTTTGTAAGTTCCTTGTGGCTGGGGGATAGGGTGGGACCATAACAAGTATTATTAACTGATAGGTTTTTGTTAATTGATTATTGGTTGGCTTCTTGGTCAAGTATCCAGATAGGGCCTACTTGTCCTTCACAAGCCCACCTGTCCAGAGGGCATGGCTCATGTCCCTCCCCTCCAACTGGTCACTATCAAGTGGTATGGGATTCTAAGACTACACCCCTAGGCGTCTGAAAAGTTGGCAAGTATTTTTGTCTGTGTTAGGAAATGTAATCCATCAAGCCATTTTCTTCTTTAAAAAATTCTTTGAATACGGGCAGAGTTTGATACTTGACACTAAGCTGACAGGTGTGACGCTAGAATCTACAAGTTTAGGTAGACTGCCCAAAAAGAATCACGTTTTTATTCTCACCCCGTGACTTGCCCGTTTTCTCTCTTTTATAACTTTCTACCTCCTCATCTTCTCTCCCTATGAAAGATTTTTTTTGTGATCCAACTTATTCAAAATGATTCACCAGGGCTTCCCTGGTGGCGCAGTGGTTGAGAGTCCGCCTGCCGATGCAGGGGACGCGGGTTCGTGCCCTGGTCCAGGAGGATCCCACATGCCGCGGAGCGGCTGGGCCCGTGAGCCATGGCCGCTGAGCCTGCGCGTCCGGAGCCTGTGCTCCGCAACGGGAGAGGCCACAGCAGTGAGAGGCCTGCGTACCGCAAAAACCAAGCAAAGGGAAGCAAAAGGCAGGAAATTATATGTAGTTGCTTTTTAGCTGTGGATAACACTTAAAGAAAGACTGACCATTCCCAGTGCCAACCCTGGAGTTTAACACTGACTTGGCTGCATTTTAAAAGTAAATGGAATGATTCTTCCTGAGAAGCACTGCACTGTATCCTGGCCAGGTTACTATAAAAAAAAAAAAAAAAAAATTCACCATGCAAACGTTTATTATGTACTGCTATATTCCTAGAACTGTACCGGGTGTTTAAAAAAAAAAAAAAAGAAACGTGAAAAGGGTGGACACTGCTCTTGCTTTCATGGAGTTTAGTGCTGCCTCATTTTTCTCCCTCACTCCAGTTTTTGCCTTGCTTATTGCCAGCTAGACTGATTTCTAGTAAAAGTCTTTCCTTTAAGATCAAACACTCCTGGGTTTCAATCCCTACAGATCCATTTACTAGCTCAGAGACCTTAGACAAGTCACTTATGCTCTCTAAACTTCAGTATTTTTTTTTTAATCTAGTAAGTGGTCTAACGTTATCTTATTTTACAGGTTAAATAGGATAGAGTATAAAGTACCTAGCATGGAGCCTGCTATTTGACACATTCAACAAGCAAGAGATCTCCCATTCTTTCTTCTTGACCACTCTTTTTTGTGTCCTTTCTTTCTTGTGCTTTCATCTCCCTATTTGTTCTACTCTTTTTCCTCTAAGTGTATTGCTCTACTCTTTTCTTCATCACCACTGTACTTACTGAATGGCTCTGGAGATTTTTAATGGGAAATAATTCTATAACTGTACTTTTAAACCCTGGAGCCTTTCCTCTTTGGTATCTACTTGGGAATAATTTTTGGTTTTCAGTTGAGTGACTATTTCCTTTTATCATGATATAGGAAACCTTATAAAACAGATGTTACAAAGTATCTCGGATAACTAGATGCAGGTATAAACTTTCTCCTAATAAATAAGATTCCAATTACATTTTACGTCTAAAGAATTACTTCTCACTGATAACGTGCTGTCTTTTCATGCTACTGTTCACTAACTAGAGAAAATTATAGTTGTTCGAATAAACTGAAGTCTTAGATTGACTTTAGTTCTCACGGTTTCAAACAAAATTCTTTTTCCATTTTATATGAGCAATTTTGTTTAAGATTTTTGTTTTGCTTCCCTCTAAAGTGTTAAATCTTCTTTTTAATGTCATAATGAGTGAACTGACCCGCTAGTCATTAATAGTCTGTTCAAGGAGATACTTGGATTTAAATGCGTTAAATACAGCCCACTAGGATCCAACCCCAGGGTGTTGATAGCATGGGGTAGGCTTTGTTGTTCAAAGTTCAAAAATATAAAAGTCATAAGATGATGTAGCAATTACTTAAGTTAAAGGATTATGTGTTATCTTAGTGAGCAATTAAATATGCGAGCAGTTGGGGAGAAACTGGAAAGGAGCCTTATCTAAAAGTTACTAAGCACATGTTTGAAACACAGGGGGTGTTGAAGAGAGAAATTAGGCCAGAAGAGTTTCGACGAGCACATAACTCCCACTGTTAGATTCTAGCCCGTGGAGAAAACCTCTGTGCTGAAGTTTCCATCCTGCCTTGATGAGGTTTTTATGACTAACGCGATCCAAGTCCCCTCCCCTGCTAGTAGTTCAGGTTCGCTTGCCTGTTTTTCGTTGTTTACTGTTGCATGACTGATGACCCACTCCCCTTCCACCTGCTAACAGGTGAAGATGGAATCTGACCTTGCAAGACAGCTAAACCTTTCTCCTCCTTCTGTCTCTTTATTTTTTTTATTTTTTTTTTTTTTTCTCTCTTGCGTTATGCGGGCCTCTCACTGTTGTGGCCTCTCCCATTTGCGGAGCACAGGCTCCGGACGCGCAGGCTCAGTGGCCATGGCTCACGGGCCCAGCCGCTCCGCGGCATGTGGGATCTTCCCGAAACGGGGCACGAACCCGCGTCTCCTGCATCGGCAGGCGGACTCTCAAGCACTGCGCCACCAGGGAAGCCCTCCTTCTGTCTCTTTAAAACAAGAGTCCTTTGAGTTTCGAGAGATGGTTACGCATAAAACCGTTGTCTTAATTTTCCCCCTTTTCAGGTTAAGGCCTCAAACATCATCCTTTATAATCAGTATATACAGTTCTTTCACTGGCAAAAGTTTTCTAACATGTATAGCCTCAGGCTACCTGGTGACTTTTTAAGATTTTCTTCATTTTAATCATTCAAGAATATTTATGTCATCCGTAAGTCAAACCTGAAGCCAACCTCCAGATATTTTGAGTAAATCCATTCTTTTAATATTTTCACTTAATTACTTCAAATATTATGATCAATAGCTATGACTCCATTTTCTTTTTTAATGAATTTTATTTATGATCATTGCAGCAACTGTATCAGTCCTGTACCCCAGCATCAAGTACATCTTCAAAGCAATTAGACCATTTTTATTTTAGCATTTGTTCCTAATTTTTCATCCCTATGCCTCCCACTACTACTTTTTAATCCCTAAAATTAATGAATTTTATTTATGATCATTGCAGCAACTGTATCAGTCCTGTACCCCAGCATCAAGTACATCTTCAAAGCAATTAGACCATTTTTATTTTAGCATTTGTTCCTAATTTTTCATCCCTATGCCTCCCACTACTACTTTTTAATCCCTAAAAACAGTATAAAATACCACCTTTGTCCAAGGATCATTAAAGAACTGATGCTGTTTCTAAGTATACTTAGCAGTCAGATGGTAGCTCACGCCCTCCAAGAATCTCCACACAACAAATTAGTGCCCTGAACGAAATCCTCATAAAAGGTTAAGTGCAGGAACTTTAATATGGAAGCCAGTAAGAATCTACCTTGTCACTCACAAACTATCATATTAGAGAAATGCAACAAGGA